AGAGAGGCGAATGTTTAATCGCCGCTCTCCACTCGACTGTTTTCTTTTTCCTTTTTCTTTTTGGTTTGTGTGTTTTGTCTCGTTTACTTCACAACACCTATAACTCGTATTTGGGTGGCACTTTCCAGCGCCCATCCTCGCTTGCCTGCATCAGTTCGCGGTGAGAGAGGTACTGCAGGGCGCCGTCCTCCAAGTCCAGCAACTCTTTCATAAAGCGGCCAATGCTCAGTTGCGTGTCATTGTCAGCCGCCGTGCGTGTCCACAAACTCAACTTCCATTCTCTACGCCGCTCTACCCGCCGCAGCGCAACACCGCAGATCTCTGTCTCCGGGCATGGAAACTGTTCTCCAATCAACGCGATGCACAGCTTTTCCCAGGCCTCGTCAATCCGCGCCGGGTGATCTTCAGCTCCTTCCTCCTCATTTTCCGCTCTCGGTTGCGGACGGTGTTTTTGCTGCTGGAATCGAACCACCCAGCGGCCTCCTCGTCGGTTGGCCTCATGCTCCCACATGGGGGCAATGTTGCGCCGGAGCATGTAATAAGTGATGCCGGGCGGCAACTGCGAAGGTGGCAACGTGCACGCGACAATCCCCCAGAAACCCTCAGCGTGATCAAAAAGACCGATGCTGCGCACCTGATCCAGCCATGTCGCATTATTCCCCTTCACTTTGGGGGAGGCGCCCCCTTTTACGGCGCTGCCACGCACACCCGCGTTAGTCCCAACCGCCCCACCCGCAGGGTCTGGCAATACGCACCACATCTCCCACACACCCCAGAGCGGGGTGGTGCAGCTGGGTGGGTGCAAGGCCAACTTGGGCTCATCCGGCCGCGGCTTTAGCCGTGTCTGCATGCCGTGGGCGAGAGTCGAAACCTGGGGCCTCTGAAGATGACGCACTCTTCAGAAATAAACAAAAAAAACAAAAAAAAGGAGGTAGAAAACAGAACAAAACGCGATTCCTCTCCCACCGCACGCCGACGCACAATTACCTCACGCACAAAAGAGGGGAAAAGAGCTAAAGAAGAAACAAAGGCAATGGCAATAGAAAGAGAGAAAGAGAGGAAACGAGGGGATAGGGCAAACTGTTAGCAACAAATGTCTATATATTTATCTTTTTAAAGTAAGGGTCCCCTTGAACGAGAAAGCTGAGAACAACACAACACAACACGACCCGACCAAGAGACAATAAAAAAAGACAACTCCATGAATTTGATAGGATGCATGGTAAAGTAACCTGTCAATCCCTAGACTGCTCTGCTGCAGCTTGACTTGCCAAGGCACGCCCCCGACGCTTCTCCCTTGCGAGGCACTTCATTAGCTCTGTCTTGTATGGAAAATAACAGCTCACATGTTTCATGTGAAGCTCGTACCCCTCAACATGGTCTGCAGTCATACATTTGTAGAGCATGACATTTGCATTGTAGCAGGGGTGGTCCGATTTCATTTCCGGATCGAAGGGGTGAAAAGGGTGACGACCAAGAAGCTCATTGACGTGCTTTTCCCCTATCTCTGGGGAAGGCACCTTCTGCAGGTACGCCGTGTCGCCGTACATCCAATTGATGGCGCGGCGAAAGTAGGTGTCACCCGACATCAAGCGCCCTTATCCCAGGCCAATTGGCGCGCTATGGCTCTTGCCTCTCCGCGCAGGGATTAAAATGAAGCCAAAATAGCGAGAAAGAGAGAGAGAAAGAAAACAAAAAAAGAAGCAACAAGCGAGAGAGGAGGCAATACATTATCCGATTTAAGCAAGATGTTTTTCTCACGTAGCCACACAAACAGGCAGAGATACATGCAGACAGACAGGGGGCACTCTGTCGGCTTCTTATTCTTGGCGTCCTGCAAGGCTTGATTACTGGGGAGGGGTCAAGCAAGGTCGTACTTTGAGTGGTTGAGCAACAACGGAACCGGAGAACCGTGAGAAGGCGAGGGGTTCGTTCTACAGAAGTTGGGCCCAACACAAGCAGCGAAAAAAAAAGGCACATCAGTCGCTACAGTACGTCGCGGTACAACGCTCTCGAATCTGTTGAAGAAAGTTTTGCACTGCTTGCAGCAAAAAGCTGAATGCTGTTCTCGGCACTTGCCGAAGTCATCGTGTCCGCAGCAACAACACCCGCCATCCGCAGTAGCTGCCCAAGGTAGCGCAAGACGATGAGCACTTGGTGCTCCGCCCGCGAGGATTGTTGACGCGAGAAATGAAGGACAAAGAAAATTGTGATGCATATAACGCAGGCCACAACATCCAAAATATTATACGCTGACTCCCAAAAGTTGCTGCGCATCACGGCGAGTCGGAGCGCGATTTCGCCCGCAAAAAGAAACGTCAGTACACCCTCCATGGTGTGATACCAAAGTTTTGTCACCGAGGCAGGGCTAACGCAGCTGACCCCCAAAAGTATGAGAGACGCCGCTATGATACCTCGATTAAAATGGGACCCAAAAAGAAGAAAATACAAATTCTTCAACCGCTCACGCACAGGCATCCTCGGCACGGTGCCGACCTGGAGGGCTGGCCACGGAATTTCCCTCGGCATCCTACAACTGCACTTAAGCTAAGTTGTGCAACGCCTCCAACTCCCAAGCAAACCAGAACAGCAAACAGGAGCCAAGAAAAAAAAAAGAAGAATTGAGTGCATGTCTTCCCCCGCAACCTCCGGAAAAATACAAAGACAAAAAGCAAACAGGACAACAGAAAAACGTAGAAACCTTGTCTTTCTCTCTTTTGTTTTTGCTTCTTGTTTTTTGGGGAAAATTTTGTTACCTCCCCTGACTTTTACCCGCAGCAAGGTGACACCTTCAAATTGATGACATTAACATCTAAAGGTTGCACGCATGCATATATATATATATATATTTATGTCTGTGTGTATGAGAGAAATAGAGAGAAAAAAAAAAGAGAGTTCAACAACTTATCATTTGGCCCGTCGAGTAGTGGACCTCGGTGAATACAACGCCAAGGACCAGATGCTTACTGGGCCCCACAGCCTCCAGAAAGCATTTCTCTTTCGTTTCTTTTGCTTCTTTGCTTGGTGTTGTTGCCGTTGTTGTGATTGTTATTCGGTTGCTAGGGGAAGCGAAGCAATTTCGAAACTCCCCCACCATTACTCAAAAATGTTTACCTTCGCCCAAACGTCAAACATAACCTGACCTGTTTTTTCCAAGAGCAACAAACGTTGTTCTCTAACACTCTCGTCATCGTCGTTAAGGCGCAAAATATGATTTGCCAGCCTTCCTCGCAACGACTTCAGGGCTGCCGCCGGTCCACAGGCGAACAACCGGGCGTTGTTCTCGAGAATGGCACGGCGAAGCTCCTCCGCATGGAAATCCAACACGTCCGTGACGTACTTGGGATACCCCTCGCTGCTGGAACGCGAAAGTGCCACATCGTAACGGGAGATGGCGTTTAACCTCAAGGCCTCCTGCAGCTCACGGTGGTATACTAGCTCTGCAAAGGTCCTTGCACCGTATACCACCCAACAATTGGGGAGCCGAGTCCCCAATTCCACGGCACTTCGACGGTGACGCATAAGCTGGTTAATGGCACCTACAAAAGGGGCTATGCCTGTTCCAGCTCCAACGAAGATCAGTAATGGAAGTGTCGCCGACACCGCCACTGGTGTCCTAAACGGCAGCGTGGCCGCGTTCAAGCTTCTCGCGAAGAGGGTAGTACCAAACAATTTCGTGCCCACATACATGGGAAGAGAATGTGGTTGTGAAGCAAACGTACACAGCGGGTGTGAAACATGGCCTTTGAAAAAACATGGCCTTGTCATGTTGCAGTTACTGCTGTCTGAAGTATCGCAGTGCAAGGCGGCAGCGCGCAAGTGTCTTGCAAGAGTGCGTGCCACATCTTCCTTGCCGCTCCCCGCGTCGTCAGCTGTCATGCTACTCACATCAACCCTCCGAAGACACAACTGTACGGAACGTAGTCGTCCAACCGCAGAAGAATCATCCAATGTGTAATCGGTTACACTAAACCGTCGCGGACGCAACGGTCCACTTACCTCCAGCAGCCGCGCAAGAGGAATTTGTACAAAGTGAAAAACATTTAACATGTCAATTAACCGTGGATAGCAAAGTGCCGAGCCCTCATTCATAACCTTCCTATAGAGGAATGGCGCCACCTCCTTCGAGGCACAGTTCTCTAGTAGTTTCATGGAGTCCACCGCCCTTTCTGTCGTGGCCCGAGGCTGAGCAGTCTGGTTTGACGCGGCGAGACGCAATAAAGTCTGAAAAAAGGCTGGCCGCAGAAGGTAACCACAACTACCAATATCAACAAAATATGCAAGCAGCATCCGAATTTGAATTGGGCAGTGCAACGGCAACCAAGGAGGGAAATGGGTTGGAGGCACAAACGGAGATCGGTGGATTTCACACCATTGATTTGGGTTAAGCTTGAGATGATCGCACAGCTTCTCTACCTCTCCGTAATATCCCGAATTATGCATGTCATAGTCGTTGGGAATAAATACCTCTACCACATCTCCCGGTAACGGCACAACAGAGGTCATTGCCTCCTCCGACCTACAGCTATTATCTAACAAGACGTCAACGATTTGCACCGCCTGTTCTTGACCCTCCTGCGAAGGCTTGTCCTTAACTAACTGGGAACTGCTGCTTCGCACCAGGCGAACATCACGAATGGGTGAAAAATGCCCCAAAATGCTAGACAAGGCTACCGCCGGTGTTATAACCTTGTCTTCATTCGTAGGAGCATCTATGTACTTAATCACAACAGAGCCCACGAAATCGTGTGCTTCGCCGTTGTCCTCATCCGACGACGACCCCGTTTCCTCCTCTTCATCCTCGTCCAACTCTACACCATGCGCCTTCAAATCCCTAACGTATTCCTCGTAACTTGCAAGTTCGTCGAAATAAACATCCCATACACACCTTGAGCATCCGCTCCCACAACAATCACCGGGCGCAGGCTCTCGTGGACGTTTTGGTGCACGTCCATTCATGAAGTTTGCTTTGACTTTTTTTGTTTTGTTTTACCTCTAAGCGATTAAGAGGGGCAAAGAAAAAAAAAGAATCAAAGTATACCAATTCAACTAGGCACATCTCATTTGTTTTTCTTCTTTGGTCCCTTCTGCTGCTTCCCTTTCGCTATTGTTGTTCATCTTCGGATTATAGGCTCAAGAAGGGGTTACGCCGCAAAATGATGTGTTTGCTTGCTTGCTTCTTTTTCGTTATTTTTGAAGGCAATACGTCATTCGCCTCTCTCCTACGACCCCGGCGAATTTGCCACAATGATGCGCCACATTTCGTCTCGAAGGGAGTCCGAAGTAAGTTCTTCATTGTGCCGCCACACATATGGCTGCTTGGGAGCAGCCTCTTCCACTGGATCTCTAAACTTAGCAAAATACGGATGTTCTATAACCTCCTTCGCCGTAAGTCTTTTAGCGGGGTGGAAAACAAGGAGCTTTGAGAGCAAATCCGCTGCTTCGGGCGTCGCCATAGGAAATATCTCTGTGAATGGTCTAGACTTTTGAGGAGGTTGGGCACAGAGAAAGTTTCTGGCCTCATCACTAAGAAATTCCATGTCCTCAGCCGTCGGAGTCCCAAGCAAATGCAGAATCATAATGAGTTGACGAATGTAATCGGGGCCTGGCAGTAATGTTTTACCTACCATTAACTCAGCAAAAATAAGCCCCAGGCTCCAAACGTCCACCGCATTTGTGTACTGATGTGATCCCATTCCTAATACTTCAGGAGGCCGATACCATCGTGTTACAACATATTCTGTGAGAGCAGCTGAGACTGTCCACTGATCATCACGGGCAAGTCCAAAATCACAAATCGCTAGGGCACAATCAGCATTCACCAACAGGTTGCTGGGCTTTAAGTCTCGATGCATAACCTTTGCGGCATGCAGGTAACAAAGACCTCGAAACGCCTGAATCATAAAATATTGGTAATGTTCATTAGTCAGTTTCTGTCTGCTACGAATAATACGGTGCAGATCCGTGTCGTACAAATCCATAACCATGTAAATATCGTCAAAGTCGTCTCGTCCATACGGACGAATAAAATTTCGAAGGCGTATCAAGTTTGTGTGATGGAGCGTTGTCAAAATATCCATCTCCCTTAATATGCGTTTACCTTCTCTTAAATCGGAAAACACCCGGGAGACCTTTTTAATGGCCACACGGTCGCCACTAACCTCATCTATTGCAGAACACACCGAACCATATGCACCACACCCAATCAGTTTTATAAGTTGGTACGATTTGGCAACCTCAAACCTCTGGCCCTGAACCACGTATAACCTTCGCCCCTCTGCCAAGGTGGCCACCTCCTGGGGTTTATCCATGCCTCACTATTACCAATACAACGACACACGTCTTTCTGTACTAACTCTCACTGTGTATGTAAAAAAGGCCGCCTTTGGGAATAAGTAATGATGAAAACAAAAAAAAGATGATACATACTCGCCTGAATGGAACGAGAAGCAAATTTAACAAAAGGGAGGAGGAAAAAAAAACATCCAGCACATTCACGAGTTTAGACAATTGGAGCTTAGTCCGATTGAAAAAAGAGGTTCGCGATGTAAGCAAAAAAGAGACTTCAGCCCTATTTTAGAAAACCAAGAATAATGATAGGAAGAAGAAGAAAAAATGGCTGTCATGCCAAGGGACAAGTCAGAACCATAATTTTTGACGACTTAACAAATTTCGCAGCCACATTGTCCACTTTGATACGTCTCGGCAATCGCACCACCGTTTCGTCAATCTCTATGGCGTCTGGCGAGGCGGTCAGCTCCACATCCCTCATTGACGTCACGTGCGGCGGAGGACGCAACCGCACTACGAGTTCCCTCTCACTGCAGTCCACAGCTTGAACCTCCCATTGAATTTGTGATCCTTCTGTCATATTTAAAGGGACCGATTTGGATTTTGCCTTCACGGGACCCGGTTCGGCGGACGCAGAACCGTGTGTCACCCCAGTTCCACCTTGCCGTGTGTCGATCACCTGGCACCTTTTTCTAAGCTGTTCAGGAAAGTGAAACAGTGGGTCAGCCAGAGGTAGTTTGCCTTCACTACTTCCTCCAGCGCCGTATAATCTAACATCATGAAGAAAGCCTTTTCGAATCCCAGCACCTTGGGGCATCTCCTTAATCAATGGTGAAGGTTTTGCCTCCTCCTTCTTCCTGGAACCGTCTAGCTGCAACTTAGAAGGCAAAGAAATTCCCCCTGCTTTACTTTCATCCGCGGGGACAGTCGTTGCTTCTTTTTCCATTGCTTTCGCAATCTTAGAGAGTAACTGATTAACATTCTCCTTGCCATTTTGGAAGTATTTTTTGTCAGGAATTAACCGGCAAGAACGTGGGTTAAGTCGCATACCACACTCCTGCAAAATCCACTCGATCGCAAGAGATGTGAGCCTGAGGATGTAGTGGTCGAATAACCGGTGACTCGGCGTACACCGCGAAGTCAGTGATGGGTGAATAACAACATCTATAGTGAAGCTATACTGTCCCCCGTCACATCTTTCTGCCGGACCAACAGCTATTGGGATGACCAAATTGTCTACACCGTACTCGTCCAAGTGGGTTTCTGAGACCTCCTCCATGTTCTTCGCCAAGGCCCTCCCGACTGACGAGTTACCGCAGACGTTGACCACAACCATGGTTTCATTATCCGCAGCAAGCGCCTCAAAGCAGAAGCCTCCTGCCTCCGCACCCGCAGCCGAGGACATCGAACTGGAACGCAAAAAAAAAAACGGAAAGAAGAAAAGTGTCGCAATGCGCAGGAAAAAAAACAGGTAACGGGGGGGGGGGGGGGGAAACGTGGTCAACGCCAGAACCAAACACGAAATATCGCAAGCAACAAAGTACTCCAAACACGAGGTAATTTACAAACAACAGCAAGGGGGAAGGGGGAAAAAAATGCCGCGCCTCGGACGTATTGTGACGTCGAAGGACTGCAGCTGTTGGTGGCACATAATCCTCGATGCACCCAACTGCTCCCTCGATATCCCGCCTCTTACTTCGCAACAACCAGCCTGAGGACATCTACCGTTAGGTGGAAAAGCCAACAAATTTTATACAAAAATAGAATAGTGAACATAAAAATAATAACAGTAGCAATAATAATAATATGCACCCTTTCCCCCACAACTTCCCCAGCAGGCGGCAAAACTCCATTCCCTAAACGCCTAGCGAAAGCTCAAAACAAGAAAAAAGCGACGAATCCCTCTTACTCTCTAATTTGCGAGCTCATTTTTACCAGACGCAGCGCAAGTGCTCTTTCATTTTTGCATTTTCAGGGGCGTTTTACGAAAAATGCAGTTGTAAGAAAATGGCCCTGTTGTAACTGGCGAGGGAGTGGTCCAGCAGGTTGTTGTCACTCCCGCACCCATCCTTCAGGTGATGGAACGCCACTTCAGAATCATCCGTTGAGAAATACCTGAGGCCACCGTGGTTAAGAAAGTGGTATCGACCGAAGCATGCATACATGCGATGGGCTCGGTGGTCGGTGGTGGGCAGGGGTGTCCTCTCAACCTCTACAGGATCTTCCCCTTTTTTTATCTCGGCATCAATGGTGTCCAAGTCTTTGAGTGGCGCCGCCTTCGCGTCCGAAGTTGGCTTGAGCCATCGCCGCAGCGAACTCGGTAATTCTAAAAGGCCTTTAATAAATTGATCGGCAAAGTCACGAGTCATCTGATCAACGCATAACAGCCGTGGAACAATGTCTGAACGGTAGACTAGGTGGTGAAAATTAGAGAGCCATCCACACCGCTCCACACACTGCGCCAACTGATAGTTGCCTACCAGTGGCGCCCCAATGGAGACACACTTCAGGTTATCCTTAAATACCCCTGGGTACTCTCTAAGCATACGAATGGCAACCAACTGCGCAACGGCTCCGCCGAGGGAATGCCCTGAAAGCACCAACCGATATCCATTCTGGCGGACATCCTTGACAAGCTGCTCTATCGGCAACGCGGCTTCGTCGGCCTCACGTGCAAAGCCTTGGTGAAGAGAGGCCTCCCACACTAAATGTACGCCGCCGCACACCCGTTGGTATTCACCATTGGCACCTGAGGAAGCAGTCAGGCCATCAATGAGGCGCGACCAAACTTGCCGCCGTATTCTTCCACAGCGCATGTTGACCGCAAATGTGCGATAATTGTGTGTTCCTGGAAACGAAATAAATTTGATTTTTCCAGGAGCCTCAAACACGGAATAGCGTGAGGTGGAACGCAACAACTTTAGTAAACGGGAGTAGGGCAGATCTGAGTGGGACATGAAAAGGTTTGGGCAGCTGTCATATTCGTAGGCCGCCGCTGATGCAACAACAGAGAGTAACAAATGCTGTGCCTCCACCGCAGAGTTTAATTTCGGAAAGGCAAAGACCTCCTGAAATCGCGGAAACCAGAGACGAAATGACCTTTCCACCTCCTCTGCTGCGTATTTGTCCACTGTGGCGCATCGAAGTACGAATTCACGGACTTCTAGGTATTTCACAGAATCCGAGACTCTTACCGACGCCCGTGCATCGACACGAATAACGCGTTCTTCATGTAGCCGTGTCGTGATCGTCGGAAGGCCACACTCGGGACATGCCCTGTGGTAAGTGGGTGTCCTACAAGAAGGCGTGATGCAGACATTTGGCATCTCTGTGGCTCTCTGCAGAACGTAGAGACCCCACAGATGCTCGTGCCCCTTGGCGCGGGAAAGGATCAATATTCCGCGTGGAAGGGCGCACCTATTGCACACCTTCATTGGTTCACCTAACATGTGGACATAACGCTGCCTCTCCCGACACTCCTGGCACACAGCTTGCCAGCACTTTCGACAGTGGTGCCTTCGCACAAGCATGTTTTTTTGACAATTAAAGCAAACACGACATTTGCAGGCCTCCTTTCTCTGTTTACACGAAGCACATGTACGGGCCAACGCCAGTGGAAACCTCGACACCACCGGAGAGCCATCCGACCATTGCGGCTGCGTGTGGGTGTAATGATACTCCCTGACCAGGATGTTGCGTTCCCACTGCGGTTGTGCCATGGAAGTTTTTTCCTATTCCGCACCCACTTTGCAAACAGAAAAAGGCATGGCGGAAAAAACAACAACAACAACAATGAATAAACGAAGGAAGGAAAGAAAAATTAACTAAGCACCAAAAAAGGAATGAAGATAGAGGAAAGAAAACTGTTAAAAAGTACACAACCACAGCCCACTTTCTCTCTCGCTCTTCTTAGTCCAAGAACTCCGAAAAGAAAAGAAAAGAAAAAAAAGTAACAGAGATGCGTGTGTTATTTACTGTCCCCAGCTGTGCCCTCACAGGCACACGCTCTCACGAGTTTGCTCTTTTTCCGCAGCGAACTTTGAGCTGTAGCACGCACAACTGTATCGGTGCTCACGTAGATGCACCAATTCTGATGGTGCATACAGGACACATGTATCGTGTGGTATATACACAGAAACCAAAACTCAAGTTTGCATTCAACCCTTTGCGGCAAATTGGGGCCCAAGGGTAATATTATAGAATTCCACTTTGATCAACACGAAGCCAACTTTTTCTTGGCCTCTTCTTGTTGTCGCACCCTGGCTTGTGTATCGGCAGGGAGGCCAAGAGCTTTCTGGAACCACACCTTTGCCTCGGCCTTTTGCTTCTGATGAAGGTAAACATCGCCAAGTGCAAGACAGTTGCGGATGGTTGGCCCCAACGCGTCAGCGGCAAGAAGATACTTCAGACACTCTTCAGGGGTAGAGGTAGGCGGTGCCCCAAAGAGCAAAGTTGCTGCCTGACGCTCCACCCAGCCAATCTGGAGGACGTTCCAACACCACATTCCCATGCAATGGTGTGCGGTGGCGTCATCCTTGTTGAGTTCCAAGGCCTTGAGAAAGTGGTCACGGATGGTGTAGGCATTCGCCACTTTTCTTTAGAACTGATAAATTCATTCTGCGCGCTGAGAAGAACACTGAACCACTTGTGCGCAGCGGCGATGCTAGGATCCTCCTCCACCGCCTTTTTGGCCCACTCAAGCCCTTCCTTGAAGTAGACTTTTCGCGCCGTTTTGTCGGTTGTCTCTTCCGCCATTTCGTGAAGCGACCGTGCATACCGCCATGCGATCTGCGGGTGGTGAAGGCCACCTTCAATGGCCTTCTTAAGGAGCTCGTGCGCAGCGGTTATGTTTTTCGCATCGGTGGCCTGATCAGCCTCCTGCGCGACTTGTTCCCACGATGACATGTTATTTGGCCCCTTCCTTATAGCGCCCGCGTTAACCCTTGGACGAAGTCATTGAGGTGGAGGAATTTATTTATGGTTCCCACGTCAAGACAGAAAGAAAGGCCAACACACAACGCCCCCTGTCGGGCTCCGCCACTCCCGTTTTGAGCTTCAGCGCTCATCTCTCTCTCTCTCGTTCTCTCTTTTTTTTTTCTTTCTTACTCATTTTGTTGGTTTTCTTCACGCTTTGTCTTTAGCTTCCCCCTCACCCCAGTGCTGCATTGTCATCCTTACTCAGAGACAAAGAAAGGAAACACACACACACACACACGCACGCACGCACAGTTCAAGGCTCGGATGGAGCTGCTGGGGCCTCGGCGTCCCACTTCTTGGAGTAGCGTGCGAGAATGGGCAAGAGTGTGTAAAATGCGTCCATCATCTCCTCCTGGCTACGGATGCCGACCATATTTACTTTGCCTGTAACGAACACGGAGCAGCACACCTGCCACTGATTGTCGTGCGACTTCCCTGAGAGGCGGACAACGCATCCACAGAATCTATCGGGCTCGTAGCTGCAAAAGATGCCTTCGTGCTGTGCTAGCTCCTCCAGTCGGATTGGGTGTCCGACGTTAAACCGCACCATGACAGAGCGCACGCGGAATTGAACGGTGGTTATATCAAGACCAAGCGCTTTTCGGATGATGCGTGCGGCGAGTTCGGTCGCCTGTCTTGCCTCGCTGACACTGGCAGCCCCAATAACAGACATTAAACCGGAGGTTCGGACCAGTACGACTGCGGTGGGTTCGTGCAGCCGCATCGTTGCCGAGGGATTCCGGCGGCGCGGGAGAAACTCCACATTTCGCGTCGCACAACTTAGGGCGCGAAGGTCTACCCCCACGCCAAGCTTCGCCTGCGCAATGATGCCGACAACTACAGGCACGGTGTCAGGCGCAGCGTTGGGGAAGAGCTCCTGAATGTTGGGCGGTGGCGCGGCTCTCACCGTCGCACTAGTGTCCTTCTCAGTGCCGTCATCGGGGCGCGGCACGTCGTCGACGGGAGAGAAGTGCGGGTAGTCAAACTCCGCCACGGCCGTGGCGTCATCGCCGGCCTCCTCGAAAAACTCATTCTCGTCCAAGTCAAAGTCCCCACCAAAGTTGTCAAATTCATCGTCCATCGCCTAAAGCAACGCGAAGCGGAGGGAGGTGGCCAAAAGTTCCCAATCACCAAACTGCGCTGCCGCACGGTTTTCACTTTATTTGTGTTGTTGCTCTCCTTCCTCCCCCCTCCCCCTCCTCCTTCTTTGCCCGCAGAAGAGGATGAAGGAGCCTGTGCCCACGCACGCAAACGCTGACAAGAGTGAGAGGAACAAGAAAAAAGGGAAGAAACGAAGACTTCTACACTGGTACTCAAAGCAACAAGCAAAAGAACAACATTTTACGAGGCGGCCTCGAGTCATGTGACTGCGCCAATTCAACTGGACCACCACATCCGCTGCATAGCAAGAACGTTTCAAAAACGCATGACTCGCTTCTTCATCACTGTATACGATTCTCTTTTTTTTTTCTTAATGTTGGTGTAGAAGTTCTTTTTTTTTCTTTTTTTTTTTTACTACGGTCTGACGCGCCCCATTTTGTTTTACCCAATGAGAATCCTCCTCCGAGACAATGACCTCCAGTCCAAAGAGAGACGCCACAGTGCTTATGTCTTCCATGCACGCGTTATTTAACGCGCGGCGAATGACAATCCGCTTCTCCTCCAAACCGCATGTGTTGGGCTCCAGCCCGTAAAATTCCTGCACCAGCTTCAGAGCCTCCAGCAGCGATGCCTCGCTGTCCTTGTCGTAGACGAAGAGTGCCGTGTATGTGTCTCTCACCGCAACGCTGTGGTTGGCCAGGGCCGTGAGCTCAGATGCGGCGGCGGCGACGGAAGCCGCCGTCGTCTCGGCGTTAACAAGGAGAGTGAGGTGTAGCGCGGAGGAATGTCCATGGCGAATGATAAATGTATTGACTAGCGGTATCTTGTTATACTGCTTCAGTACACACCGCACCGGCGTCACCTCGTCGGCGGACTGAAAGTCAAAGAACTCGAGGACGCTGCCGCGCAGGAGATCGTACCCCATGCGACAGATACCGTACGAGACGCAGAGGCCAGCCAAGCCGTCGATACCCGGCATACCGACGCAGTGCCCCCCCACCCCAACAAGTACAATTGCGCCGGACCACGCATCGGCGCGGTGGTGAAACGCATTCGCGACAACAACGCGTGACCCCGCCCGCTCACCCACACGCTTTGTCCAACGGAAGAGGAGCTCCTTCAAAACAATGGAGGCTACCGACACGAATACCATTGTCCACAGAATCCTCACTCGACCCTCGTCATCCATCTCCGTGACTTGGAAGTGCGAGTGACCGTGGTGGTCCCGCACACCACCTGCGGTCTGCTGGTTCCCTGTGTCGTGTAAATGGCTGTGACCGTGATGGAGGAGGTCAATAGAAGTTGCGTTGCCGTCGCCAAACGCGCGGTGAGACAACTCCCGCTGACACTCATCCAACGATTGAAGGAGGAGCATCAGTCCCCCCACGAGCAAAATAAAGGCCACCAAAACGGCGCCGACGGTTTCAATCCGGCCAATACCAAATGGAAAACGACACCGCGGGAACCGCTTCGCCGAAAGCGTTACTGTGGCATACGATGTGACGTCTGCAAGAAGATCAACAACCGCATGAAACCCATCGGCGACAAGCGCCACTGAACCGCCTCGCGCGCCGATCCACAGCTTCGTCAAGGAGAAAAAAACGTTGGTGGCTCCACCAACGGCGGTGACAAACTGACATTGCCGCAGACGCTTCCCCTTTACCGCCGACGTTACCGAATGATTGTGGTGGCTGTGGCTGTGGCTGTGACTGTGACTGTGGCTGTGGCTGTGGCTGTGGCTGTGGCTGCACCCCCCACCACCATAGTCTCTGGCAGTAGTTGCTCTAAGGGAGCCAAGCAAACGGGTGAGCGGCTGCCGCATTTAGCTTGGCAACTGATCAAGGCGTTCCGTTGGTTTGCGGTAAGAAAGAGCAGGATGCCACAACTACCAGCGCAAGAAAAAATATATAAGAAAAAACCAGGCACGGATGTATGCATTCATACGCGGCAAAAAAATAAAAAAAACATAGGCGCCGTCTTCTCAGAACGGTTGCTAGTTGCAGCAAAAGAAAATGGAAGACTCACCACCCCCATAGCGGCGGCATCCCCTTATCCATGCAGGGAAACACCCACACTGCAAAGCCAGGGAAACTAAAAGCAAGAACAACAACAAGAAGGAACGAAACAACATAAAATAAAACAAAACACAGCAATACAAAGAAGCTACCCGGACGGTGAAAACCCCGAGAAATACCACGACAAAGAATATGGCACTTGTTGTTACTTCTTCTTTTGAAGGGCATTTTAATTCCATTTGTCCTTTTCTGTCGCCGTTCATCATGCATTGCTTACCGTTGTCTCACCCGCCTTCGCTTGAGTTTTTTCGCCTTTTAGAGACTGTCACTGTCGGCCTCAACGACAAGCACCACCTCGCGCAAAACTCCACCACGTTTCAAGTGAAACCTCAGTTCCAATCGCGGCAGTTCCCAGCAACTGTCGAGGTCAGGCGTTGTTGTCGCCGACTCACTACTAACAGGAAAATTGAAGCCATGCCCCCTATTCATAAGGACGCCGACGCTCTTCTCTTGCCTCATGTGCTGCTTGAAATACAATTGCCTCAGGACACGGCATCTAGACTGATGTTCTCTCACTAGTTCCGTCATGACAGCGTACATGTCGGCCCGCGTCAACACCGATTGGCCATTTAAGCCAATCACAACATCGCCCGGCATCATTCCAGCAGCCTCACCTGCAAAGCTGCGAAAAACTTTATCTATACGAACCCCAATGCCTTTTTCATCGCGCAGCTCAACTCCCAGCAAAGGAGGACGCGCAGCCATGGCACAATAATGCGGTGCATACACTTCAAGTGCCTCTATTCTACTCTCCAGCTTTTCCATTTGCGTGGCAATCTGCCCCGACGTCGCTGACACAAGCCGGCGCAGACCAGAGGCAAAGTCATCATGCCGCACTTCAGCTTCGCCGTCGTTGCCGTCTGTTCGTTTCATAGCGGTTGGCATCGCGCCAGCAACGCCGCCATTGCAGGGTTGAATAACGGGTGAATTTGGGCTACCCACTTGGTTATCCAATACCGTTTCTCGCAGAGCCAGACACAACTCGCTTCTTAACGCATCCACTTTTTTGTCGGTGTACTGCGTCATAGCGGAGACGCGCTCCACGGGGGAGGCGGCAGCAGAGGCAGCGGCCACAAGCTTCTTCATCCTTGTGACTTCCCCGTCAACGCACTCGGCGTGCGCCGAGAGATCACGCCTTAGCCCGTCGATACTTTCCTCCAGCTGCCGCAGTTGCCTAATTCCGTCGGAGTTCCGTCGGTGCTCTTCCAGTAGACGTTGCTCAACTTCTTCCTGGCGACGGCGCAACTCAGCCACGGACATCTGCGTTTCGTGGAGATGCCTGCGAAACTCATCCAGTCCACCCCAAGGGGTTTCCCCATCCTCTGCGCACGACGCGTGGTGGGAGGCGGCGTCCGACCGCAGTGGGGTTCGCTCCCTCCGCTCCGCCAAACGCGGCTCCAGCGACGGCGATTTCAACTCATGCAAGTCAGCCTGACAGCGTGCACTCAGGTCGCAGAGTGCCTGCGTCTCCGAGGCCAGGCGAGTAACCTCTCGCCTCTGGGTTACGAGGATCGCGTGGTGGTGCAGGTTGGTGTCGACAAGATGTTTACAGCAGGAGAGCAAGACCGAAAAGAGATCCGAATACGGCCCACAAGTGTCAAAGCTGTGCTGTTCAAAGAAGTTCTGCAGCTGCGTGAGGATATTCCTTGTCGTGGTAAACTCGTCCACGGGACCCGTGATTGGCCTCTGTTCCATCGCAAACAGCATGGGGTTCGCACCCGAGGAAGGGATATATATAAAGGAAGTGATGCACAACGAAGTCTTGCTCCACGTATTTTTAGCAATGAGAAGCGTACACAGACACCCTCCTTCCCCCCCCCCTTTGTTAGTTTTGCAAGGCTCTACACCGAAAAAAAAAGGCTGCCCTTCTGCCTTTGTGTCTCCGCAGCAACGAAACTCAAGAGGAGAAGGAGAAAAAAAAACATTTGCATCAGCCACGGGCACACAGTTCCCCACCACCTCGCCCAAGTTATATTTCCCTTCACAAGGCGTGAGGACGCAGCCACACAGGAACACAAACGCCATATGCATATAGCGTTCATGGAGAGTGGAAGAGTAAAAGATGCCTTCTTGTTCCGCTCCCTACTTCTCCCTCCTGCCTTTGTAGTGGAAGACTCATCTAGCCCAGAAAGGAATCAGGAAGCATGTGTGCTATAAATTAAGTGGTTACCTCCCCTTTCGCCTCCACTTTTTTTCCCTCTCTCCTCCCCTCATTTCCTTCCTTTCTAGCTCCCACCTCTCTTTCATCGTCGCCGCACGCCGTGCCAACGGAAGTGGGAGCGGGGGTAAGGCTTAGGGCCTGGGGTGGGCATCCCTTCTCTCGACCTCATCAGGCTTCCACTATCTGCAGTTCCTGCCTTCATACGAATCCGCTTCTCAGTTGTTCCCTCCTCTTTCTTCCTCGTTTTAGAAGTTTAATGCCGCCCATCCCCCCCTCCTCCTCTCCCCAGCCCCCTCCCCAAACAAAGTCGTGTGGGTAAGTACGTAACTATCCTGTTAATCCCTTTCTTCACGCTCCCTTCTGTGAATCAGTGGAGGCACGAAAGGGGGCGCGAGCGAGAAACATCTGTGCATCTCTCCCGCTCCCATATGTGAGATGTGACGCACCCTCTCCCTCACAAACACCACCCCCGCGCTTCTACTCCATGGCCAAAGCGTAAGTCGATATGGGGCGCGAGAACGCGTGTTGAACTTTATTATCTAGTGTCCACACTATGGTCCTCAAAGGCATACACCAGGATGCGGTGAGGGCGGCAAGGCAGCCGCGGTGGCACGCAATCGTCGCCGCCGACAACAGCAGATCCTCGTCGAGGTGAAGTGGCTCCATGACGCCCGCCGTCTGCGACGCACTCAGCACTGCGGCGGTGGAGGAAAGTTGCCGAGAAGCCGTGAGCGACGCCAGCGGTGCAAGGGACGGAAGTACACGTTGCGCCTGCCGCCTGTTTTGAATGTGAAGGGAGGCCCACATGTGGCGTGGCACGCCAGCGCTGGCAAAGACGCGGCGGCCAAACATGCGGCAGAGACTACTGCGAAAGAATTTCCTCAAGCTTTTTTTTTTCCGATTTGCTTCTTCGTTTTAGTTCTTGTGTCGTCGGTGAGGAAAAACCCACCAGGGCGCCCTCAGTCTGCCTGCTTACCCGCTGGAGCAGAGACGAGACGAGAAGCGAAGGAGCATCGAAGCGGCGCGGCAGCCCACTCATCAGCGGCGGCCAACCCAAACGGGGAAAATCCCAGCGAGGTGCAGCAGTGCAAAAGTGCTCCACAGGCAAAGTAAGAGAAACATAAAAAAGAAAAAAAAGTCATATATGCTGAACTCACGTCGAGTAAGGAAGCAACACATAAAATATATATATATATATATTAAAATGTCAGAAAAAAAATGTACACAGAAGGGGTAAAAGATGGGGCCGCTGACGCCAGGCAAGTGCAGCAGTAGCAAGATGTACGCGCTCACCGGGAGCACCATTTGGGGTGCACGCGTGTGACCAGGAAGCAGCACAGGAGCAACAGAGAGAGGTATACTGCTGTGGCAATAGAAGAGGCGAATACGGCGGCCACCACGAGCCGCTTTCCTTTCGCTTCGTTGCCGTGGATGAAATGGGGAGCAGAGGTGTCTTCAGCGGCCGCAGCGGCCACGAGAACCAAAGGCAACAAATAAACGATTGCAGCAAGGAACACCATGCGAGATTGCGCCCAAGAGGTCCCGCCGCTTCGCGGACGCACAGACGCACAGACACAGGAACACATACCTTCACCTTTTCTCAGGAAAGGAATAGCACTCGCCTGTGGAAAAAAAAAGAGGAACTGTTCTTTGAAGGTGGGGCGAGAGAAAAGAAAAGCAAAAAGAAAAAAAAAGAAAAAAGAGGCGTTTAGGTACGTGTGTGGGTGCAAGCAGACACATTCACCAAGAGAATCAAGATTTTCTCAGCAAAGAGACCCTCTCGCAAAATTTACTCCGAATATATTCCCTATGCTCTCTCAAAACATAACAGGGGGCGACTGCAACGGGCCGTCAAACCATTCCCAACATAATGCCTCATTTTTCTGCAAGCAAACATGTTATATGTGTAGTTATTTATAGAAGATATGGGCCGTACCTCAAACAGGTACAATAGTTATATGAGGATCACTTGGGGCCCCTTCCGCGCGTTCCTCTTGCTCTCTTAACTCGACGACTCTTGCAACGCACAGGCCACCCTCCGTGACCCGAAAGGCATTGTAGAAGCACAACAACGCGCTGACGCCCCCTATTAAGGCGCCAGCCACAATGTCGTCGAAGTGGTGCCAATAATCGCGCGTTCGGCTCACGGCACACAGAAAGGCAATGGTCAAGGGCGACAAGGACAGCAGCAAGCGGAAGAAGCTTCCCCCGCGCGCCGAGGGTCGTGTATAGGCGAATAAGAAAAGAGACATAAGCGTCATCACCGCAAACGACGTGGAGCTGTGCCCTGAAGGGAACGAGAGACGTCCCTCGCGCAGCACGGGATGCTCGTCCCCCAGCCTGCAGTAATACTCCGTGTCTGTCACGCCATGCACACCGGCGTTCTCGTGCAAACCCTCTTTAAATCCCAAACTTCGCAGGCGGTTCAAATAATCGGGGCGGATGCGGCCTGCGTATACCTTGAGCAGATTAACCACCACCAGCTGTGATATGACAGCCAGCAGCTGCGCCTTCAGCCACACCCAGAGAGCGCCACCGAGATACGTCACCACTGCAGTGTAGAGAAGCAACGCCAAGAGAATAAAAAACAAAAGTGTCCACGTCGGAAACGTCACTCTCGTGACGTACGGGTAGTTTATCGTCGGGTCACTCCAGCTGAAGGGACGGCAGTAGGGTGAGACCCAAACGACGACGACCATGGAGACTACAAGCAGCCCCAAACCCACCACAGCGTCAAGCAGCTGGTAACGCCTCCAGTATGAGACCAATTGACCCGTCACCATTTTCCTGCACACGCCCCCAGAACCTACAAAACATAAAAGCCGGAAGAGACGCGCAATGAAAGTAATCTGCACGTATGCGCGTGGACTTATATACACACATATATATACATGCATATATATATATATATATATGTGTATATGTATATGTATATTTGTATGTATGCAGAGTTACATGTGTCTTCCTGCAGCTTCCACGGAGACTCGTGATAGTTGTTGATGTTGGCAGCATGAGTCGCCGCCAGTGAGCGGCACAAGCGCAGAAATAAAGAGCACACACAAATGAAGAATATTAAGTAATAAAAAAAAACGACCAGCACACGCCTAACACGGTTTTATAATTCCTTTTTTTTTTAATTTGTTACTTTTATATTTTTATCGCTTTTGCTCCAGCCCTTCCCACCAACCAATGAAACGGGGGAGGGGGCGGGAAAAACAAAAAGTCTGAATCACCGAAAGCCCCTCTCTCCCCATGCCGAATGCCTGGAAGGGAGTTTTTATCACAAACAACAACAACAATTATAAATAAAACACGATTGTCCCTCAACAAGAAAAAAAAAGGAAAATAGCAACAATAAAAGCTAAAGCCCCGAAAATCCACAACTCGCGGCGTCGCCGTCAAGCGTCCACCGCGCAAACGCGTTGCCATGTACTTTTCCTTCCCCCGTTGCGCGCTGGGTGAAGAGTGACAAACACTCCATCCTCTTGGCACAGCAAGAGTGGCATGTGCCCTCCTTTTCCGTCAAAAACAACACGACGAAAAGACATCATGTTTCCTTTCCGCTTCTCATCCTTTGCATGGTCCCACACACATATTCATTCAACGCCCAACGGAAAGAGAAAAAGAGAAAGAGAGAGCGAAAACCTCCGGACGACGCCTCATTTATCCGTAGCTCGGCCAATAGTGACGGTAAGTGGGGGAGTGGAAAGCGTCGTTAGCCCGCCCTCCGCGTGGGGCGGGGATGGTGGTTGGGGTTGAGTGGGCCCTCAACGGGCCCACGATATGCGAAAAACGTAGCAATGACACATTTGCAGAAAATATACTGTGCTGCGCCTTTTTTCTCGCACGCCGTTACAACCAGACCATTCCATTCGCAGGCGCTCAAGCAAACAAACATCATACCGACCTTGTCGCTCATTCCCGTCCACCCCAGCACCCTCTCGTTTTGTCTCCTTTCACGGCGTCGCTTTGCCTCACCATTGTGCATGATGCGTCTACTAATCTGGTGAACAGCACGCACACACACATACACACACACATATATATATATATACATATATATAAACCCCTCCGGTGTTACCGTCATGTATGACTCAAATGGTTTGCATTTTTTCCAAAGTCTGCTCCCTCACTGCCATCGAGAGCGACTTCAACGGCAGGCGCCACTGCTGCCAAAGTCTTGCCCTTGGCACCTGTGAGACCGTACTTCACGCGGCACTGCTGTTCCTCGAACTCTTTCTGGTCCCTTTCCTGAATGGCAATCGTGGCTGCCAGGTAAAAGTAAAACACCATGAGCAAGCGGAAGGAGAGAGGGGAATCTGTCCACATCGCACTTAGGTTTTGTTGTGCTCCGCCAAGCCCAATGCCAAAGCCCACAAGATTTACAATAACCAACTGCAGCATAATCGCGCATGCACCAAGAGTGCGCATGTGCCGGTAGAGCACCGGTCGGCGTGCCAGCACCACGACAATCGGCGCGCTTGGATGAAATACGACTTGCGTCAAAAAAAGTTCCACAACGAAGCAGACACAAATAATACATGCCCAATGCATCATCCGAAGCTCAATGTCGTGCCAAATGGCTATGAAGAAGAAGATGGGGAAGATGTTGAGATGTTTCTTCTTGTTTCCGCCCATGGGTATGTACATGTAGCGCACAATCCACAAATTGAAGGAGGCGTGCCAATCCCTCCAAAAGTCTCGGATGCTCACGGTGCTACTAAAGCACCGACGCATGTCCTCCGGCACGTCAAAGCCGTCCAAGAGTGCAATTAGTCGAAATAACTTCCACACGCAGTTAAACTTCAGCCACAAAAAGGCAAGCTGAAGATAAAGCACTAAGGCCCTCCGAGAGAAAGAGATGGAGGCAAACGCCGCCCCATTCTCCAGTATGGCAACCGCATAAATGTAGTGCACCGTGGTCGTCATCAGCATAAAACTGAAAAGTGTGCGTAGAGAGTAGTGTCGCAGGAATTTCCCATCCATCGGCCGCCAGGGCTCCTTCAAGTAAGACACATACGCATTAAAGGAAGAAATGGGACCCGCTATATAAAGTGGAGGGTAAAAAACGTAACCAAGATATCTCAGTAGATTGTACTCACCCGCATCGAGTGGATACTCGGTGCGAAACTTGTAACAACGCAAGCCTCCAGCGTCTAAACCGAACGGAACTGAACCACCCCCTTTGTTAGCGCTTGCCTCACGAAGCTGTGCACATTCAATGCACGACATGTCATGTTTGTCTATGGCTTTTTGGCGTCGCTCCGAAGACGCCAGAAGGGCCTCATGCATGTCCGTGTTGAAGGCTATCATACGAAGCACGCTCATGTTGTAATGCACCGTCCATCGCATGACTGGGTCTACCAGTGTGTCGAGAAACCCAAGCCCAATCCAGGCAAATCGGTAACCGTCAAAGTAACTGTTAACGAAAAGTAAAGCAATATGCGTTCCCCACATAATCGCCATAAACGCCGTGAAGGGAACCGTCTTATGCAGTCTCCTCGCACCGTAGAAGTTCCCAAAGAGAATAACAACAGTAAATAAGAAGCCCGGACCACTAATGCCAAAGCCAATCACCAAACCCGCAATAATGTGAAGCACATGCAACGACTCCAACTCCTTTCCATTTCCACGCTTCCGAAGTCGGTGCGAAATGTAAAGAAAAAGAGCAAAGGCCGGAATAACGATAGGGAGCACCAACGTGAACTGACGCCACTGGCTATCCTTGATATCCATACCCTTTGAACCTAGCCAGCAAAAGGGCGGCCACGCGGGCGCAAGTGAATCCTCGAGTAATGCAACATGTCGACGCGACACCCGCCCAATGTCAATGACAAGAAAGTACAACACCGCCAGACAAAGTGACCCGACGCAAAAAAGATACTCAATCGAGTTTCTCTTGAGATATGGCGGAGACACCGCAACACAGCCGTTTTCCCCGTGGCTTCTGGGGCATTCATGCATTATCTATGGAAACGCTACACCCTTTCTTTGCACTTGATTTCCCACAAAGTCTATTTGCGTCAGTGTATGTCGAGCAACTATGCGCCTGGCTGAGGTGGTGTGCCTTCGGTGCCTGCAGAGAGGGAGGGGGCAAGACTGGGAGACAACAGTTTCCTTCAAGGGGGCGCCCGGCATCCCTCCAGTGAAGAAAAGAGTTATGAGCCACTTACACGGAGGAAACAAGGAAATGAATTCAAAAAGTGTTTTATAATAACCGGCCCTCGCCAGCCGCTCACAAAAACGGCAGTCGTTGGGCCCCCCACAGTCGCCGCACTCCCATTGACCTTCCAGCGCAACATCATAGCGGGCCAAATCGGGCTATAAATAACAACACCACGCAGGTCAACAGCAGTCACTATCATCTACCTGGAACCATATCCTCGCCCATCCCATTCACAAGTTTACAACACAAAAAAAAACGTCAACAAGTAAAAAGAAAAAAAGTGATGGGACAGGCACATCACGATAGCCGTGAGAGGGCCACCAGCACCGCTGCAAGTGCGCCATTGATAGGGGCACATGCGGCTAGTCACAAGCCTTCTAGTTCGGAAGCGCGTAGCCCTCACAACTATTATTATTATTATTTTCATTCTTCTGCTTGTTCTTAAGCACCCCCGAGGACACCATACCTTTTCTTTAGCCGCCGCACTTCTGCTGCCTCCGCGTCGCGGTTCATGATGCCCAACGCTGCCGCACAGTACAAAAACAAAAACAGCGTCAAGACAAACACGGGTCCAACCGACCACAAATCTTCGGTGGTGACTCGATCCATCGGGCGCCCATTCACCCCATTCGCCCCAGAAGAGAAGCCAATTAGATTTGCGACAATTAAGCCAAAAACAGTAAATAACCCACCAAAAGAGCGAATAAGACGCTGGTACCTAGAACAACGCAACCGGGCACATCGTGGGGAGGACCATATAAAACCAACAGAAAGCTCCAGTACGAACATGGTCAGGACACACATCGCCCACTTCAACAGGTGAAGCTCAATGTCGTGCCAAATGGCTATGAAGAAGAAGATGGGGAAGATGTTGAGATGTTTCTTCTTGTTTCCGCCCATGGGTATGTACATGTAGCGCACAATCCACAAATTGAAGGAGGCGTGCCAATCCCTCCAAAAGTCTCGGATGCTCACGGTGTTACTAAAGCACCGACGCAT